CGTGTCAAGCATGCGTTGGACTCGCACGCACGTGCAAGATACTTTTCCTTGAATGGCGTGGCCCGCGCGCCCCCCATATTTCTGCCCTTTTTCACACAGCCTAAAGGGAGGGCGTGCGCGCCGGTGGTAAATTATTTTTGTACCCTCATAATTACCATAAATAGCTTAAATGCCCTCCATATTGTCAGGTCAGAGAAAATTTAGAGTTGGACGAAAATCTCCCTCGCCCAGACCTGAAATTACTTAATTAGCTCGGTTCTTAATGGTACTCGGATCGGAGCGGCTGAACATTCTACAAATTTATTTGTGTAGGATTGTTGGATCGACGGTTTTGATTGGGTCTGGATCGATCCGATTCAATATGTTAAAAATATTATTAATAAAAAAATGAAAATAAGGATTTATAGAGCAGAGATTTAAAGGGGTCCAAGGAAAGCTTAAACGACCTTTACAAAAGGATAAAAGTCATGATAGGGGGAAGTATTAAGGGGGACTCAGTCAGGGACCATATCATTCCATAAGTGATTTGGTGTCGACCGATTTGATTCATGTATGAATCGGCAATCTGGACAAAAAATCGATGGTTTTAGAATATTATTTTTTAGCTTTTTGGTGCTCTGAATTGAATTATAAGGGTAAATAGTTGGAAAAAAAGCTATGATGATGATAATGAATCAATTTACAACGATAATAACACAGGAAATAGAATTTCTCACGACAGTGACTTCATTAAGCCACATCTCAATGCCATTAGAAAATACATACTTGAAGTCAAAGAATTTGTAAATTGATAATCTCTCTATCCATAACCGATTTAAATTAGTTGGGAAAAGACTTTGATGATGATGATAATCTCTATATCCATAATAATTGTTAAGTAAAAAGTGGATTTGAAATTGCAACATGTTTTGGGTTGTCGATTTCATTGCTTTACATACTCGTTAGATTTGCTATAGAACTTTGAAGTCCTTAATTATTAAGCGTAAAAATAGATTTACATGCCAACACAAATATTTAAGGGATTGTCTACAAATAGACCATTTATCTTTTGTACATGAAGGTCAAAATAATTATTGTCCCTAAAATTTCACAATGGATGATAGTAAGAGTGTCATTAAATAGACACAAAGTTCTTTAAAAAAAAATTTATGATGACTCACCCCACACCATCCAATTTGACATCTAATAAGTGAAAATAATTGTGACGTCCATGTACAAAAGATAAATTGTCTATTTATAAACAATCCCAATATTTAAAAAGCTAAAACTGCATTTTATACATACAGATATTAGGTGAGGTTCACCCTAACCTGGTCCCATAAGGTCTTGTATGGACTAGGGGTTAGGTCGAATCTGGGATAAACGGACCCTGACTTGACTTACCAAGTTCAGTATCAGGTCTAGACTCTGACCCAACCCTATTTGTTGTCTTATGGTTATTTCAAGTAGGGGCAACAAATAGGGTTGGGTCAGAGAGTCTAGACCTGAATATTGAACTCAGCAAGCCAAGTCAAGGTCCGTTTTGACCTAGACCTGACCTAACCCCTAGTCCATACAAGACCTTATGGGACCAGGTTAGGGTGAACCTCACCTAATATATGTATGTATATAATACATAGATAACAAATATAGTAGGTGCATTTGTACCAGTATTCGCAAAACCGGCTGGTTAGATCACTATCGGTGGGGTGGCGACTCCTGTTAGGGCCGGTTTTGGTGGTCTACTCAGTAGATGGGGAGCTCCAAATCGTTTGGGTACAAAAATCGGCCAGTTAGCCACTGAATAGATGGCTTTTCCGCAAAACCGGCCGGTTTCTGCTAACCGGACCGGTTAGCCTATAAAACACATGATATAACATAAATAACGGTATAATAGTAAATAACGGTCATTATTTGGAGCAGGCATTCTTGAATCCAAAATTTCACCTTTTTTTTTATCCGTTTTCGTACCCTTTTTTGTACTTTTTTTGTGATTTATTTCTGTAAATCACTATCTATAATCTATAAAACAAGAAATTTGATTCTTGGATCGAAATGGCAATTTTTTAGGTTTTTGAAAATTTCCACCTTTCTTTCAATAATTTCTTCAATATCTAATGGTTACTGAATAAATTTGGTGGTTTTGATAGATAATTTAATTATTCATCATATTTATGTTTTAGTTTGTTCATAAAACCAAATATTATCGGTTGATTTTGGCCCGAAATGCTGTTGCTCAAAGAGCCTGTATTCAATCAAAAAACACATATTTTTATCTATTTATTGGTCGCTTTTTAATAAAGTGAGTTGTGGATTTTTATGATCAATGCTTGAATTCTCAAATAAAATAGATATGTCTATTTATGATTAATTAAATGTTTTTATATGATTTTTTCGTTGCACCATATCATGAAAATTACATAGTTCAGAAATTTCCGCCTTTTTTCAATTAAATTAAAAGGGAAATGACCTTGTGAGACCCTCCCTCACCCATCTGTGTAGGACCCCAAAGGATCACCATTAAATTTGGCACAGATATCTGGAAAAGTCAAGTCCCACACCCATGTGATAACTTTTCGAGAGATCTATGCCAATTGTGATCATTTAGAGTCCTACACACATGAGTGCAGGAGGGTCTCATAGGATCATTACTCAAATTAAAAATACCGAATATTTTTTTATGAGATTTGGTGCATTTGAAAGATGATTGAAGCCTTTACAATGCATGTATGTTTATTTGTTCGATTATCCAAACATTGAGGGTCGTTTTTGCTTGAAATATTGCTTGATTTTTGGGGTTTTTGGAAAATCATTTTTTCTCAAAAAATATTTTGTTTAATAAAATTATGTTTTTTTGATGAATATGGGAAGTGTTTTTCCATTTTGCTTAATAAAATTATTCTTTTTGATAAAGTTATTTTTTTGATGAAATTGATTCTTCTTTTTGATAAGTGTATGATAATGTCGCTTGATTTTTTTTATTTATATTTTTTTAAGTGCATGATATAGTTATATTTGTAATGATGGAGATGTGACATTTTGTTTTTTTAAGTGCATGTAAAATTTTGGTTGCCTTATGTTCAATGAAACATGACACCATCGTCTTGTATGTAAGTGCTTGGTTCTTCTTTTTTTTTATTTAATTTTTTTAATTTTTTTTTCATTTTCTATCTAGGTTTTTGAAATGTTATGGAAATAGTTTTTAAAAGATCAGCCGATTTTTTAAAAATCGGCTGACTAAATCGGGATCGGTCACTGGTGGCCGATCCCGATCTAGCCCAATTCCGAGAGAGAGAGAGAGAGAGAGAGAGAGAGAGAGAGAGAGAGAGAGAGAGAGAGAGAGAGAGAGAGAGAGAGAGAGAGAGAGAGAGAGTAGAGGAGAGTAGAGTAGTAGAGTAGTAAGTAGTAGAGTAAGTAGTAGTAGTAGTACGTAGTAGTAGTAGTAGTAAGTAGTAGTAGTAGTAGTAAGTA